TTGTTCAAGTGCAACGGTTTCTATAATATAATATAAGAATGAACAAAGTGTCGCCGACAAATTCTGTTTCTAAATACCTATTTGTACTCTTTCACGAATCTTTTTCATTGCTATACTTGGAATAGTAATATTCTCTTTTTTTCCATCAATGCGTTCGATCTGCTTCTGCAAGATTAAACATGCAACAAATAAATCACAGGCCTCGGCAAAATCATCGTCTGACATATTAATTGACAAGAGATTCGTCTATTATTTTTTTAATGAAACAACAGATAAGAACTTCACTTACGTTTCAATCTAAGTTGATCTTCCCAACAGCGTTTAATGATGGACAATTTATAACTGCGGTCAAGTAAACTTTGTGAAATAGGTAAATCAAGTCGTGCCGCTACGTACCGTGATAGAGTATTCTCATCTTGTATATTAAGCTGCCATCTACTCATTGGAACGTCACCGCTTCCAAATCGTCTACTGAGTTCGTTCACATTAGCTCTTTCTAAATACAATAATACAATGAGTAAATCTTGATTGATTGGAACAAAAAAAACACACAGTAAACCTTGTTGAGTTCTTTTTGATTCTTGGATTTTTCGATACAGGTCTGCACCGCACAGCTGTTTAGCATATGCACAATGTGGAAACCATCGAGCATGTTCAATCATTGGATTATCGTTAGCTCCCCAGTTTTGCAATGACCCATTGCAATAGAAGCATGTCACAATAGTTTTGCTACCAGTATAAAAGAAGCCTGCTCTCACTAGATCATCAACAGATGGCAAATTTTCTATTGGCCATGTAGAAAAAGAAGCATGACGTTTAGGAATTTCAGTATAATTTGTATGACATGCTGCAGTATAAACAATTTCATGACTCCGAAACATACCGTTATTTGTGGTTCCTATAGAGTTATCTCTCGTGAACTGTTCATTAACGATACGAATTGATGATATTTCCTGGCGCTTTAGCAGTGCAATGACATATGGACATGTAGGAGAAAGTGTTTTGTGTATTTCACAGGGATCATCTGTGTGAGGTGTCCATTGTTGACAAATAATATTACAATATAAACAAATGACACGATCACCAACATTACAATTGAAGAATCCAGCTTCAATCATTTGTGCACTTGAAGGTGATGTTCGATGTGGCCAATGGGTAAATGTTCGTTTTCGTATTTGTTTGATCATGTCAATATCGATCAGTCGATATAGCTGACAAATGACTTGTGTTGCTTCGATTTTCTGTCTTTTAGATTGTTGGTCATCATCCATTAAAGCTGAAGTTGTTGCAATAAAATTTATCGTTGATGGCGCAGGGATTATTGCATTGGGCACGATAGAACGAACAAATGCACATGTTGGGCTGCGTTGCGCATGAATAGCAAATGGCTTCATGTCTAATGTCCAATTAGATATTTCTAGTTTACAAGTATTACAACATGCTGTATCTCCTATACCCGTATAAGTGAATCCAGCAGCAGTCATACTTATAATGGAATGTACGCCTTGCTTTTGCAATAATGCTCTGCATGTTTGTGCTACTTGACGAAAAAGGTCAGCTTGTTTAAAATAGACCGATAGTGACAAGTAAGGTACACCTTTCATTAAAGACAAATTAGTAGAGTATGATTTCGTCGCTGTTGAGGCTTTGCCACTAAAAGGTCGTTGACAAGGATCCCATGATGTATCCATCGAATGGTCTATTTGAATATTTAAAAATCCTGAAGTTATAATCCCAACGGTCTTGGTTAAGTGATCATGTACTCGTCTTCACTCTTCCAAATTCGAATATCTGATTTGACTTACAATTACAATAAATCGTTTTCAGGGGGCGCCCCGCCCCCTCATAAACAAACTTTTTTATTTTTCCCATGAAATTCAACTATAATTTCGGAGAATGTTAGTCTTGGCTAGAGTAGATTATGATTAAAATATCTCCTAAAATCTGCAAGATATTTGTGAGTTATAGTCAATTTAGTTGTCAAAAGTACCCTGTATGTGGGCAAGGTTTTCACAATCAAGATACAAGCTAACATGCCGGGATGGTTTTTAAGTTCTAGAGTATCCTTAGAGCTAGATGCTCATAGAGCCCGATTTTTGAAATTCCTTTTGTTTCTTTTTTAAAAAAATCTTTTCCGAAAAATTCTCGAATTTATGACTAAAAAATGACTGATAAAAATGAAATATGTAAGTTTTTTTAATTTCGCCAATAGAGAAATTCAAAAACCAAGGTATGTGAGAATCTAGCCCTATCTGTCCTCTATGCAATAAAAAAAAAATTATCACATCTATCTTGAGTCATTATTGAGTAAGATTTGCCCGCATAAACGGTATACTTGAAATAAATGCGGAAATTTCGAATTTAAATCCGAGAGTTATGTGTACTTCAAAAAGTGAATCATACGGATCAGTCATCCTAGAATGTCTGAACATGAAATTATACTGGGGAACCTACCATTTCAAATGTTGATTTCTATTGCGCGTTGCCAAACCAATAGAACTTGGGACCGAATACAGCTCAAGTTTGAACTCTTTCCTTTGATTTACTCTAAGAAAGTCGTTTTTCCTATAACTTGATCTCTATTGGTCACTGCTCAACCAACAGTATTTCGACGGGAGTGGAATACAGATTCGAGTTCTCCACCTCAGAAAACCTCGAAGCATCATCACTGTGATCGGAAGATAGAGCTCGAATTGTGGATCAATTAGATCGTGGGCAAAAATATAACCTAGTTCTCTTTAATTATCTTTGTGATAGGTGAGTCAGCCTTCTTGTTTCTTTATGTTTTATATACCATTTTGTAGCTCTTGAAATTCTCTATCGAATGGTATATAATAGTTGGGGTTTTAGTTGACCAGAATAGGAAAAGTTGTTTACGAAAGCGGGGATGGCTCAATCTTTCCATAGGGAATGTATAGGGAAAAATGAGTATTTTTGCAATAACTCAGGAATGGCTCGGCCAATCCTTCTCATCTTCGAACTCGATCGAGATATTGTTAAGACTGAACTGTGTAGAAAATTTCATCGCGATCTGACTCTCCTTTCAAAAGTTATCGAATAAACGGACGGACGGACGGACGGCCGGCCGGACACACTGACCGATTTTAGTAGTGTACTCACTTTTTGAGTACACAAAAACGGGTTTTAAGAAAAAATGGAAAATAAGTTTTTAAAAACCTTAGTTTTTTCAATATGGAGGTTTCGAAAAACTTATGCAATATCCTTACATTTCATCATAAAATCAGTCAACTATAATGCATTCGATAGTAGACACTTTGCTCTACCTAACGACCTATAAATCACAAAACCGGTAAATTTGATAAAAATTTACTTTATCTGAGGAGGGGCTCCCCGTTAAGTCGTTCTGCGAATTAATTAGACTAGGATATATATACGTATTTATTATGAAAATATGATTTGACCTTACCAAAAATATTAGTAATACTTGCTTTCAAAAACTCTTCGTTTCTTCGAGTAATCGTGTTACTCAACTCTAGAATGCAATAAAAGTAAATATTTTGGTTACACGTCATGTTGGAAAGTATGACGTCACAAGGGATGTGAAACAAATGTGACGAGGGTGTGGGTGTGGGGTGTGGGTGTGGATTTGTGGATGTGTGGGTGTTGGTGTGGGTGTGTGGGTGTGGATGTGGGTGTGGGTGTGGGTGTGTGGGTGTGGGTGTGTGAGTATGGGCGTGGGTTTGGGTGCGTGGGTGTGGGGTGTGTGGGTGTGGGTGTGGGTGTGTGGGTGTGGATGTGTGGGTGTTGGTGTGGGTGTTGGTGTGGGTGTGGGTGTTGGTGTGGGTGTGTGGGTGTGGGTGTGGGTGTGTGGGTGTGGGTGTGGGTGTGAGTGTGGGTGTGGGTGTGGGTGTGGGTGTGGGTGTGGGGTGTGGGTGTGTGGGTGTGGGTGTGTGGGTGTGGGTGTGTGGGTGTGGATGTGTGGATGTGTGGATGTGTGGGTTTTGGTGTGGGTGTGTGGGTGTGGATGTGTGGGTGTGGGTGTGGGGTGTGGGTGTGGGTGTGGGTGTCGGTGTGGGTGTGGGTGTAGGCGTGGGCGTAGATCTTCTCTTAGCAACCACGCCCACATTTATATTGTTTAGGGAACACAATTTTTTTTCATTAGATTTATCCTTTTGGTTTCTATTTTATTTCTATAGAATATTTTTCAGGTGATCATTTATTTAAAAATGCAAAAAAAAGTCAAAACTGTGAAAGCTTATTGAACTGATGTCTAATTACTCTTTTGTTTATTTTATTTGATTACTAAAATTAACTGACTGAACAACAGTCTACTTCAAACATATATCATATTCTTGAAATAATATAGATCTTGCACATGATATTTTACCAAAAATAAGAACATTTTTAAAAAAATAAACATTTTAAATAAAACTTAATGAGGCTGAAAAATATTATAAACTCTTAATTTGCAACTGTTTATATCTTATCAATTTTACTTGTGACAACGTTCATTAGTATGACTCTATAGTACACGATTTTTGTATAAATAGTACGTCTATGATATTTGACATCGTACTTCATATGCAGACAAGTTTTTATTCTCGTCAAAAATGCAATGAAAATATCCTTCTGCATGATGCATTCTGCCATGATGGACTTTTTAATGACTTTTTCTGTATCTTTCAAAGCAGAATGATTGAATGATAATATTCTGCAGAATGTAGGGCAGAAAGAAACAAACTGTCCTTGGACGTTCCCTGTCTCAGTTTTCATCAGGAAAATTTTCATAAAATCTAACACATAATTGATTTTTTTTCTCGTAAGGCAAAGAAGAACAAAACAATGCTGGATATCATTAATATACTATTGAAATCTTGTCAAAGAAAAAGACCAGTGAAACGAGACTACTCTTCCTACTTTAAATATCATGACAAACCATTCTGAATTTTGTATAAAGATTCCATTAATCTTCCTTTGGTTTATCATTTGTCTTCTTGCTTTTTAAAAATTTTATTTTATCGAATAAAACCAATAAACTATGCATTCATATATATTATCAATCATTGAGAATCGAGTTTTACATAATGTCTTAAATACAACTATGATTTGCTATAAAATTCTTGAGTGAAAATTCAAATAAACGAAAGAAAAGCAATAATCCCATCATTGATGATAAAGATCATTAAAATTTATCTAGCTCTTTTATATAATGACTCAACATCTCATTTTATTGTCATCCTTGAAATGGGTCTCTGCGTGCATATACGTTTTTGATCTATTCGAAAAAAAACAAAAGAAACGAAAGAAAATAAAAAAACCTAATAAGCCATGTGTGGACAAACTTAAAAATACTTGTACAGAGTCTACATCATAAGCTTTTTCTAACTGTATGTTCAGAAAGGTTCTATCATGTCTCGTTTTTCAGTAGAGACATGTGATTTATAAAAACAGATCAAAGTTTTGGGCATGGAAATAACGGATGTCTAAGTACTATTTTTTATTCAGTTAGATGCACCATTCAAGTCTCTAAAAACTCGATGGGAAAAGGTACAGTATCACGCTCAATGATGTGATTGACAATTTGAAAATCAATGATGTGAGAAATAACGTCAAAACTGAATGTGGAAACGATAAGGAATCGATAAAAGTTTTCGATATGTTAACGTCTCTATTCTCGACATAACTGGCCGAAAATAGGGTGTGTGGCTGTGAGTGTGAATCTTCTCGCAACCTACACCCACACCCACACCCAAGCTATTGAAATGATAAATTTGTTTTTAATCATCTTACTTTTCCTTTCACATAGGATTTATTGCTGGACACTTCATTTTAGTCCAGTTAAGTTAAATTAATACTTCGACAATCTTAACCCAAATAAGACGGAGGTCATAGATAGCATCAATTCAAATTAGTATACGCTACATAATTATTATTGACTTACGTTATTTAGTTCACATGGAATTATTCTACACTTTCTCTGCAGCTGGATAATTCAAACAGACTTTAGCATAGACCTGATAGGTAAGATATTATACATAAACTGTTAAGCATATAGTTCACTATTTTCCGTCGTTAGATTTTTCTTAGTGTTTGTTATAGTATTTAGCAATTGAATATATGCTCTACCGAAATAATCAAATAGTGTATTACTGTGAGTGTGGGTGCGATGTTTATATAACTATTGTATTCCTCCACACTCACATCCCACATTCTACACCCACACCCGACACCCACACCCTTCAGATTGATTGTGATCGGCTTTATTTGACATTTTCTTTTCAGAATGGCTTCTTCGAAAGAGAATTACGGACTACATACTAAAAAACTCATTCAATATGAAGAAACAACAATTTTTCTTCACTGAGGTAGCTCAGTATAGTATAGAAGAGGAAGCAAGAAGTTTAATTGTCGTGTCATTTACATCTATAATTTTATTTTTATTCGCTCTTTTAATATATTTGCTTTATTCATATCATAAGCGTAAATGTTAAAAAGCTTACGTCAATAATAAAGTTGATTTCTCTTTTTATCCCTATTAATGTCGGCTTTTACATAGTTGTGATGATTTTTAGATAGAAGAAGAGTTAGTGAAAATGGAATTACACTTTATTCGGGTTCTTCATATCATAAATCGCACCTGCATACAAATGTTTCTACACTTTATATATGCAGGCATCAAAACTAAGCAAACATCGCAATATAATGATGTGAAATACAATATCAGATGATAAGGACGAAATTTAGAGTAAGAGTAAAGTGCATCCTAAGGACAAAACATTAGGCAAGCCTAACCGTCATCGTTACAGTAGGACACTACAAAAGTTTTTTCACCTGTTTATCCTAAAAGATGCAATTTGGTTTCCGCTATTCTAATATAATGCTTAGACATAGTTAGGACTACATGCAAAATTTCGGCCTTCTATGTCTTGTGTGCGTATAGGCGTGAGTGTACTTCTTCTCTTAACTCTCAGTTACATTCACCCACATCCATACCTACACCTACACGTACACACACACTCAGCTCAGGACATTTGCGAAGGTACTCTGTTGTCAATATGTCACAAAAACCTTTTGGTTACCTAGTGGAGCTTTAGCGCTCAACTTCAAAATGCTTCTAAATGTTCAATCTACTAACTTGTTCAAAAATTTTCATAGAATGTTATACAAAATTGGCAGATACCTGATACGTACCCATGTACTGAGACAATTCTCAACAGGGTATCCTGCTGACAACTGATTCAGTACGCGAATACCTTGTACTCAGATGATTCACTAGACAAGAAGTCAAAAAAAACCAGTTTCTTTTCCTTTGATAATTCCAAATAAAGTTTTTACTATAGTGAATGAAATTACTGAGGAAATTTTCTTCGATGCTTCAACAATTTCATCGAATACATCAGCGTAAAACACTATTAATATGATATTCATTTTATGTAAATATAATTGTACGCCACTCATTACATTATTTTGTCCATATTGAATGTCAACATCATCAATGCGAGTATAGATTTATATAGAAAACAAAACTACAAAAAAAAAGTCTAGTGATTCTACCATTAAATGTGCACTTGTGCTTTTTTTAACTGAAAGAGTGACATTAAAAATGTATTGATTATTTCTGAAAATCGAACAAAAAGGACACAAAATAAATAAATTTATTAAATAACGTTCGTTTTTCTTACTTATTATCTTGAGTTCTATTTTACGATAGACAAATGGATAATAGAAAACTAAACCAAATAGAATCAAAGCTGTTGCAAAAAGAAATTCAATGCTTGGTGATGTAATTACAGGTGCAACAACCAAATAAATCGAGATAAGAACAATAATGATAATTAATGGAATAGGAACCTACATATATAAACATATTCATTTCATCTTTTCTTGTCATAAATAATTGTAGACACTGACACTGATTACTCGTTCTGCATTCTTCTTGGTAAATTTACAGCAAAGTGTAGCAACAAATGTTAATCCATAAAAAATCCATGCAGCAAAGCCAATCAAATTGATCAAATTTTCAATATTACTTGGAAGACAAAACATCATTGCAATGACACCCTTCAAAAAAGAAAAATAATAATATTATTATTAGTAATTGAAATGTGAAAAAACAACAACATAACCTGAAGAACAACACCAGGCATTGGAGTCAATCTTCTCATATGAATGCATGCAAATACTTCTGGCAAATATCCGTACTGAGCACTAACCATACAACATCGAGCAGATCCAAAGAGACTTGCATTAGCAGTACCTAATGCACTAACAGAAATGAGAATAGGTAGAGCACGCACAACTGGGCCTAATACAGCTTCACCCCATGTCTATCCAATAAGAAATTATTTAATAACAAGATTAGATTTTTTGTTTTTCGACCTACTACAGCAACGGCTTGAGAAGTAAGTAATGCTGCTTTGTTCATTACAGTAAAATAAGAAATATTAGTAAGAACATAAAGAACTATAACAGCAGGTAAAGCCAGTACAATAGATAACCACAGATTTCTATAAAATGCAAAAATATTATCAATATTAAACTTTTTAAATAAATAAAACGCAACTTGATTTAACAACATGAATATGTTCAGTTGTCTAGAAAAAAGATTGTATCTATGCAAAACCATACCTTTTAGGATTTTTGAGTTCTTCTGTCACTGAATTAAGAGAACTCCATCCATCATATGCCCAAAGACCAGAATAGAATGCAAGTGCAATACCTAATGGATTTTTTGTCGTACCTATATTATACGACAAGATAATATGTTATTCACTTGATTATCTTAATCAACTGCATCCTACCATCAAAACTATTTTGCAAGTTTTGTGTATATCCTATAAATAAATTGTTTAATGACTTGATTTAATTTCTTACATAGAACAAGAATAAACCTTTTCCCATACGTATAAGACCAGCTATTATTACTATTAAAATAGTCGATACTTTACTAATAACAAATATGATATTAAGACGATTAGCTAAAGACACACTAATAGAATTAATATTGATCAACATTACTATAAAACAAAAAAATAGTTTAAAAATCACTAAGTAAACAAAAAATGCATATACAAATAGCAAAAATTGCTGTCATTTTGATTAATTCTGCTGGAGGTTCACATTCTAAATGTACATATAAATGTACACGATGAACAATTGTCTATAGAAGTCAATTTACCTTGCAGTATGCCAGACCAGAAGTATTGAGAAAATGTAAGAGTAAGAACTGCATTAGATGATGGTCTCAAAATAAATATACTTGCCCAACTGAAAAGATACGCTAATATATCACCTGTTCGTTCATGAATTGATCCAATACCTATTAATAAATATCTTCATAGGAAATAATTCGTAAAAAATAATAAGACATATGACAATATTAGGATATCATTTTTTTAATGTGCCTTGGAAAGAAAATTAAAGAAAGGAATACATATGAAATCTCGACAATTCTACAACAATCTTAATTTTTTTCTGTTTAAAGTATGATCCACAAGTCTCGAGTCTTCTCTGTAGATAGACGTTATCTATATGAATAAATGTATAGATAAATGACTGAAATATATAGTTTTATAGAGAAAGATTAAATCTATAAGCTGCAAAGAGAATAGTTCGAATTGTATCGACATCATGAAAAGTTATGGTTGCTTTATGTATTATTGTTCATGACTAAACACTTTACATCATACATTTTTTTGCAAAAAAAAATATATTGTTTTCTAAACATTTTCATATGATTCGATAGAGTCCGACAAACTCTACGGGAATATGAATATCAAAAAAGTCTGATCTGGTTCCAATATCGAACTTGAAGGAAATAAGAGAGACGAATAAAGATTCCATGTATTCCGCATTAGGGAGAATCGATCAACTAAAGTTATTGGAAGTTAAGCATATTATGTAATGTTGAGTGGAACCAGTTGTTTTGATCCCAGTCCCAATCAAAAAAAATGTTTAGTTCTGATTTCGCGCCTAGCAATAAATATACTAGCGAAAAATGTGGCATTATTTTCTAGATTAAGGATAGTGCTAACGTTGACGGTAATCGTAAGAGTATATCATTGAAGTGAAACTAATCGTCTTTGTCACTGTAGTTGGAAAAATGCGAGTATGAGCGAAATAAAATTTTTCGCTTTTTATCTCTGATATCTGCTTTTTTTGTTATTTATCATAGATTATTTTTGTTAAAAATTAGCAACGAAGAATTTCTTAAAAGTTAGTAAGAATTTGAGATTTGCCACGATCTCCAAATACTTGGTCTTTTTTGCACTTTTATATGTTCGACAACTGTGTTATTTACCAAAAAATGATTCATTTTACTATCAAAATTGTAACAGCAATTATTTACATGATTGTTATTAAATAAGTAGTTTTTGCATAAACTATTAGAACATAGGATTCGTGAGAATATAAGATTTGACACAAGTTTTACACGACTATAACAGACATCACTCCCAATGCAAAAATGTTAGTTTCGGTTCTGGTTTCTCATACCCATATCAAATATTATTTTTATGTAAGATATATAAGATTTTTTATTAGTGTGCCTGACTTTCTGCAATTTTCGTATTGAAAACAAGATGAGCATTCTTTTCTTTTAATATTCATATGTTTGTCGACCTTTATCGAATTATATAAAAATAAGTAGAAACTAATATTCCGTTCGATTTTAATCACTCATACATTACAATAATATTTTTGTTTTTTTGCAGAAAAATCGAAGATATGAAATGCTTACTTATGATTAATAAAATAGCCATAACTTTTCATGATGTCGATACAATTTTTGAACTATTTTTTTTTCAAATTATAGCTTTAATATTTCTCTACAAAACTCTGTATTTTAGCCAACTATCAACATATGTATTCATATAGATAAGATCAATTTACGGAGAAAAATTGAAACTTTAAAATTACACTTTAGCATACCTTCTTTTATATAAGCGACTTCTGCCCCATTTCTCGGTATTACTGCCCCGATCTCTGCATAGCAAAATGCTCCTGAAACAAGAGAAAAAAATTAAATTGTCTCTTACATATAACAAAATATTGTAAAAACATACCAATTAAAGAAACCAAACCGCATGCAACCCAAATGATCAAACAGAGACCGACTGATTGCGTTTCTCGCAAAACACCTTTAGGAGAAACAAATATACCAGAACCTAATAATCAGAAATAATTCATAGTAAACAAACAATATAACATGTAATCATTTACCAATTATCATACCAACAATAAAACAGACTCCTGAAAATAAACCAATATGTCTTTTCAATGTTACTTCATCTGTTGGCAATACAATTTTCAATGGGTCTGGTTGAATAATTGATATAACAGATATACGGCGATGTTTAGTAATAGGAGATTGAACAGGATCATAATGATGCATTGAATCAATATCAGCTAGAGATGAAAAGAACAATAGAATCCATGAAAAATTTCTTCTCATTATACTTGTAATAAGTGATTTGAAAAGAAAATTCATTGATATACTTTTTTTTAATCTATTAATAAAATCTTTGCTTTTTTCATGAAAATGTCAATAGTCATCATAAATATTTATGCTTCAAGATATATTTGTTACTATATTAAGATAAACAATAGTAACAAAATTGCCATCAGATATATTTCTGTTCTGTTTTAAAATCTATTGAAGACTTACCAATGCTTCGCTCGCGTGATGTATCTCTGTCCATGTTAATTTTATAATCTGCTTATGTTTGCATAGATAGTTCACATTATACAATGATCTTTATTCAACATTTGTCATAATAGACAAAGATCGCAAGACCTTTTCTTTTATGCTTTGATAATATGTTAGATAGATAAGAAAGAAGGAGAAAAAAAGGTCTTGAACAGTATCAAAGGCGAATTTTAACCAATGAATGAATAAAATTTAACGTGCTTCTTTTATTTTATTTAATCAATATGGAGCGTTAATGGTTATTATTATTACTATGAATTATCTGTTAAAACAGATCGAAAATTATTTGAATTATTTCTTCTAACCTTAAGTCAATTGAACGTATCCAAACGATTATGCAAACTTTCCGGATTTAAATAATGATTGTCTTTTAGTGTATGATGATATTTGAATTTGATGCAACGGTAAGGTGTGGTGCAAAGTTACGAATTTCGATTATCGAAAAATCGATATCTTGTAAAGAGGGTGTGGGTGTAGATGTGAGTGTGAGTGTCTTTGTTCAGTGTTTGTATGAATGAAGAGAATGCTCATACCCACATCCATCATCATTGATTGAGAAAAATCTCCTTCTAAGAAAATATGAAGTAAAAAGTAAACTATAATTCAATGTAGTTCTTAATTACATATTATTAGTCGTGAGACAGATTTATAAATCTTTTTCGAAGAAAACTTATAGTTATCTTTAAGCTTTCTTTAGATAAGATGAAATTTTTCAAAAAACAAACCGTTTTCTTGAGAGTTTTGATATTGAAAACATAACAGATTTTGATTGCTTTCAATAATATGTAGGAAGGGTGTGAGTGTGGGTGTGCTCTATCTATAACCACACTCACACACTCCACACCCTTAACTATTAAAATAATATTCCAGTGTTTACTTAGTTTTGTCCAACATTATTTGGCATGATTCATACGCTTATTATATCGAAGAGGTATGTTTTACGAAAGATTAAATATAAGTATTTTTTAACAAGGATTTCTCTTTATAATTAACTTCTTTGCTAACATCAAATTTAAAGAGAATATTATTTTCATTTGAATCAACACAATGTGAATGTGGACGCGTCCGAGTAGTTGTGAGTTTACTTGATGAACAGAAGACTCGCACTCACAACCTCAGGAAAACTGCCATTTTCGTTCAAGATTTTATCAGAATTCATATTGACTATAAGTAATGCGTTGTCGAAGACATTGAACATTGAATATTAAGTGAAATCTCAAAAGCACAATTAACTTGGAAGTGATGTGAGTATTCCATAATGGTAGACTCACACCTAATCTCAGGTAATTAATTATTTAATTGTTGCGTATACTCGAGCAGGTTCTATTCTTTACTGAACAACATCAGTAACCTAAATAATAAAGATATTATCGATTATTTATTCTGTTCTATTTTTCTGTTTTTATTTTCTTCAAAACAAGATAAGTGTTATACATAATCACTTTGTAATCATCTGGTTTCTTCTTCACTTCTTGCTCGTAGAGTGTCCAAAACTGAGTTAATATATTGTCAACTTCTTCTTTGAGTCGACCGTTATCTTCCAAAGCTTGTCTTAACGGTGATTCGGTATAACTTCGTGTGGCTCGAGTACGAGTTCGTGCAAATTCATCTAGAGATATTTCGCCATTGGTATATTGCTTATACAATGGTGTTTTTACTTCAACGAGACTTGATTTGATCAATGTCAATGAACATTGATGAAATAATTGAAGATCAACACATTCGTTCAACGAACGATTGTACATTGGAATCGAATAATCCAACAGTTCTTGAGGTGTTAGAAGTGAAAGTGACTGAGCACATTGGTAAAGGACATTCATGCTATTTTCTATTCCATTTAAACCTTGCTCATTCACACTGAAATTTGTTAAAATAAATACACCACCAACTTTAAGTTCGCGAGCACGTTGCTTTATGAATTGAGTGTAATCCAGACGAGCTTGTTCTTGATATGCTTTAAGTTCATCACCTTGAGCAAAACTAGCTATGCAATGATTCGAAATATTGCACGGTTTGCGAGAAAGCCAATGAATAGAATTTGATGAATAACCAATTGATAAAGAATCTGACGGAAGGCACGATTCATAGAAAGATCGACCGCTAGCTACACTATAGTACGAATTGTTTCTGTTCAAGAGTTCAAAGACAGTTTTCCAGTCATTGGTAGGCAAATCATTGTGTACAATAAGTAGTTGTGTTTTAACATCAACCTTGTTAAATTCTTGTAGATATTCGATGATCTTCTTCATAGCAAACATTGAATTCAGTCCATGGGCTGAGCCAAAATCAGCCATAATAAGAGGACCTGATGCAGGTGAAATGTCGAGTACATTGATGGCTTCTCGAATAAAAGGAAGCGATGATTCAATAGCAGCCATTTGAGAACTACTACTCGAATTGTAGGATCCGACCATTCCGAGAGTCGCTCCTGAGCTCGTGCTCATTGTTGCGAATCGCGCAATACTTCTTTTACAATGATTCGAGTTTTATGAAACAAAGTACAACGGAGAGACACAATTATTATACTGATTCAATAAGAAAAAAAACAGAAATAAATAAAAAGAATAAATAAAGACGAACAATCAATCATGTGGAAGATACTAAACGAATGGACAATGCTATCGACAAACCAGAAGAATCGATAATGCTCGTTGGTCTAAATGATGTCGTTAGTAATCAGTCAAACAATATCAAGTTATTTGTTCAAAAACTACAATAGATCTGAGGAATTCAACAAAAAAATTCCATCACTTATTTTCTACCATTGTAAAATGGCTCGATAATGAGAACTACCATTTAACAAAAAACGATAAAATACCATTTTCGGAGTGATCGAGTAGAGAACTCTACAAAACTTTTGCAACGTTCATCGACTAACTATCGCTACGCTTAGAATTTCAATCCAAATAGCGAGTATTGTAGCCCTTGATACACTGTAGCAAATTGCACAGTCAACTTCTTCAAACGACATTGTTATTGATGTCTAGGGTCAACACATAAGGACGACTCTATCATGTCGAAGGATCAATGCTTGAAGAATTCTATCACGATCGTCACTGTAGATTTCGTATTGTCGCTATTGTTCAAATCGAGTCAAATAATGATAAAAAGCAACGATTTGATCAGGCATCCTGTTCGTATATCCGGTTAACAGATAGATATACAAACATACCGTTGACCATGGCTTTGACACGTATCAAAGTTTCAAAAAATAATTCAACAATCGAAAAATCGAAAATAACATGTCTGTCTACACGGGATCTAAGTTTCTCGCTCTATTGTTTAACATACATTTCCAATTTTGGTTCACGAAAAGACTAACTGAATTCTGTTAAAAAAATCCATTTTTCTTGAAGAAAACAATTTTCGGCTTTCAAGCTAATACCCGGATGCATCATTTTGTTTAGTATGGTTTCATTATTTTCATAATTCGTATTACGAAATGCCAATAAGGTGGAAACTACAATCTTTTTGTAAAAGAGATTCACCTAGGCCATATATCACATTTTTCATGTGATCATGAATGCTACTAAAAGCCACATATGTTGATGGGCAAATTGAACAATGTCGAATAGTTTAATTTTATAAGTAAAAGATTTTTCAATGTATACTTTGTCTCGCTGATGACAACAAAACTCCACCCCAAACCCAAATGTTTTCTAGCTCTGATCAAGCTACTCATTTACAATCACTGAGATTAATTCTCAACCAATAATCGACACAATGATCAATAACCAATATCATTTATCTCATTGTCAACATCTGATCTGAGTATGACGACAGTATTTGACGTCGATCGAAATCAACTCAGTGCAATCTATTGGTTTACTGTACCAACAGTGATATCATTATCTCACCATAATCTTTTCATTCAAAACGTACTATATGGTATTTGTTGAGGATTATTGCAAAGTTCGAATCTATTTCTCAAATGTTTTTTCAATGCACAAAAAAAAATCAACTTTGACAAGACAGGTAAGCAAGGGCTAAATACGAGAGAATAGTTTGGTTTAAAACATGGAATAATGTCGATTTTTCAGGAAGCTTTTACACCAATTTCATTTAATTCATACTTTAGTCGCCGTTTATTTCGTGGCAATTTTAATCAGATATAAGAAAACAAAAAATGAGAACGATTTGATTGATGCAATCTTACAACCGCAATCTATCGAGTTCAAGTCAACTGATTTGTTTTCATAAAGAGAAACTTTCGGGATGATGAGAAATCATTTATCTTTGCATTAAATAAAAGTATCTCCGCTCAAATGTGGGAGATAAAGTACCATCGCAATAAGATAGTCTCAGGGCTGCAAGAGCTGAATTACTGATTGAGCTCGAGCCTATAGATGGGAAGATAAAGTTTTGTTGTTTTTCAGCGTTGGTCCCGCTGATCTGTAATTGAGTTATGTATTTTGGTTCGCAGACTTGTATTGGCTTTTTTGCTCTATAAATCACAGCGCACATCGGCACAAGAAAAATATGTTCTTCGCATTTGCAATTTTGGCTACTGTACTCATGGCTGGTGTGCATGGAAATCCAACGCTTTCACTATCAGACGAACCTGCACGCTGTTGTATACCAAAATTATTCAGTACACAAATACGCATATCAAGTGGAATGCTCTTACCGGATGGAAAATCAATGACTTCATACGTAAGTTTTGTTTTTATTCATAAATACTCCCACTATAATAATAATCAATTGACAAAATAGTCTTATAATAATTTCTCGTATGATGTGAATCGTGGCTTAGTCGGAATGAGAGGTGTCACATTTACGGAACCCGATCATACCAAAATGAATATGTGGACAATTGAGAATCAAATTGATGGAGTGATTTACTCAATCAATTTGGATTCAAACACATGTTACAAATCAATCAATCGAGTCAAACCCATTCTTTGTATACCGGGTATAGAAATTTAAGTTTTAAATATTTAAAAAACTCTTCTTACTTGTCGTCGACATAACAGATACAGCAGTATATGTACA